TAATTCGTGCCAGTAATGCCGGGGTGAGATGGTATCTCATTGTGGTTTTAATTTGCATTTCTCTAATGGCTAGTGATCTCGAGCATTTCCTCATGTGTCTGTTGGCCATTTGAATGTCTTCTTTGGTGAAAGGTAGTATTCATCTTTGAACTCTTACACAACTTAAAATTATTTGTGTTAACCAAATGCCTGCTAAATTTTTTGAATGCTAAAACTTTTGATCACTACAAAGTACAAATTCAAATAAACGCTCTTCAATAGAGTCCATACAAAACACTCTACCTCCCTCACACTCTTAAGCACTGTATGCCACTTACCTGAGAGGTATCCACTCATGCTTTTGTCAAGACTATTAAATTTTTGCCGATATTTTAATCTTGAAGGCTGAGGAACTGCCCACTCTGAGGTTCCAGTCTTGGGCGAGTTCCCTGAGAGAGAAGCAGTTGAGGAAGTTGAACTGTAACAAAATTTATTTAAAATTTTTGTTACTAAATAAAATATTTAACTTTATAAAGCAAAGACATTAAGAATCATACCTTACATAACAGAATACTAATTGCTTTTGTATTTGATATTGAAAAAATTTTAAGTTATTATCTTTACTCTTAATAAAGCAAATACCCACATGCAGCATAAAACGCCAAAGGACTACTATGCTCCAGGACTTATATTATGTTGGGGCCTTTACAAATATTACTATAATCCTCACAACAAATTTAAAAGGTATTACTGTCCCCATATTTCAGATAGGTAAATTATGGCTCAAAGATGCTAAGAAAATTTGGCCAAAGTCACACGATCAATGAGTGTGATTAACCTGGGATAAGAATGTTGTTTTTCTGGGTCAAAGCTAACACTCTTTGTTCATAGCTTTCAAGAGTATTATAGTGATTTGTACGAGGGATTATGAATGACCACTTGATGTTTTTGTGTATTGTGCAGTTTAAAAAACTCAATCAGCAGAATTTTCTCAAGAAATAAATTAACCTATATAATAATTATGAGATATTTTGGTAAGTGTATTCATTTTTAAAGGAAAAGATCAAAGTTTTGGGCAAAAAATTAACTAATTAAAAAAAAATAGCAAAATATTTTTACATGAAATATGCTTTTTAAATGTAAAACACAGATATTTGAATAATTCCAAAAATTAAAAAAATGAGTTATAAGTAGTAAATTTACCTTAAGTGCTTATATTTGGCCATTGTAAAGTAAAGCTTGGATAAGCTCAGCACTTTAAAAAAGAGTCATTTTTTAAAATAAATATTCTCATTAAAAGACAAAAAAGTGGAAATATTAAGTGTACATACATACCTGCTAGATCCTAAATCAATCAGAGACTGGGCCTTCTGAATACTAGCACCACCAAATCCTCCCATCATCAGACTATAAGATGACGTATGAGGCAATGCTGTGAGGAGGGGTGGGACAGATAAGAAAAACTTAGCAATATCACAAAGTATGAAAGAGATGTGTATCTATTTGGACACAAATATGACACAGTTTTGTTTCTTCATATGAAACACTGACTCATTACACATAAAGTACTTACTTGAAGAAGAATAAGGAATGGATAAAGGCTGAATGAGACTGGCGGTTCCATTTGGTAATGATGATGTGCTACCAGAAGGCACTAGGGGAGCAGGCATCATTAAAGGAGGAAGAGTGGTCCCTGAAGTCACCGAGGACAAGGGTGTTGTTATAGGTGCAACTGGAGGCAATGACTGAGGAATGGACAGATTGGGCATGCTTCCCATTCCTAAAACAAAGCAGAACACACTTTCCAATGCTAGTGAATCAATTATAAAACACATGCTAAAAAACAAGTAGAGTAAGTAGAACCCTGTGTTTATAAAAACACTATGGGTTTGCAAACTATCTATTCTTAGAAAATTCACTAAAGTAGCTTTGACCCAGATATGAGGTTTTATAACAGATATTATGTATGATCTGTGTGAACCAAGAAAATGTCTAAGGAGTTGGAAATTCTCTTCTCTCATCATGAATAAAACTAAGCACACTTTTCCAATGAAAGATTGGTATCCTCGAAGAAAATGTATTACATGATCAAAGGTGGGGTTTTGTGTAAGGATAATAAATACAATGCTGCTAAGTTAGTGACCACATGTGTGCATGCACGCACACACATACACCTCCCCCCCAAAAAAAGATGTTCTAATTACTAGATACTTTAGGAGACCCATTTATGCATATACATTATTTGCAAGAAGAAAACGTGTCACAAAAATTTTGTATTTCTTTAAAGTAAGATATGATTCAAAGACAACTGCTTAAAAGGAACAGATAAATGATGATTTTTATTCATTTACTAACTACAGAATACTAAGTACAGTATATAAGTATGGTCACACGATGATTTGGTATTTCTAAAGCTCACTGCCACAGTAAAATAATTTAGTATTTTAAGATTTAATAGCTGGAGTGAAAGAACAAGTTTCAATTACATAGAGATACCTAACGGAATGTTCCATTCAAAATGAGTGCTTCTCACCTATAAGATAATTAACAAGCAACTGGCTAATCAAAATTAATGGAAAGCATACCAGTGGCTGTCTCTAATGAGAATGTAAATGAATCAGCACAAAGTCAACAACTTTTGGCCCTAAATTTACTTGCCTAATTAACCTTTAACTTAAAGAAATTTCTATTTAAATATAATTTAAAATTACCTTCCAAATTAAACCATTTCAAGTGAGTTTAAAATTGTTCAAATGTTTTCTAATATTACTCATACAGAGCATGGAGAAAATTAATTAAGAATGGTATTTAGAATCAGCTATAACTAGGGTGACCATATAATTTAACACCCAACTGAGAGTTGTGAAAGGGGACACTAACTGGAACAGATGCCAGGACAACAGGCAGATTTAGCAATATCACAGGACTGTCCCTGGAAAAGAGGACCTATGGACACCCTAGCTATGATACTGAATTTAATGTTTCCTTCACCACAGGCATGAAAATTAACTTGGAGTATGGACTGTCATTTTGTACTAACAAATCCTTTCCTAATCTCCAAATATTATGCCTAGGAATCAAGCTTAACTATCAAATGTAGCAAATTAAAGTAATAAATACAGTACATACCAAAACGAGCAGAAATTAAGGGAGAGAACATGGGAGGTTGCTTCATAACAGGAGGGAGAACCATGGGCAACTGCTGGCCTTGAAGCTTTAGCTTGATGAGTTTCATAGCTATGGAGAACTCTTGCTGATCCATCTTACCGTCCTTGTTCAGGTCTGATAAAGCCCTAAATGGGGGAGGAGGTCGGTATATTGGTATGTGGGGGTGATGGTAAGAAAACCAACATTACTTTTGGGGTTCGTAAAAGAAACACAAGGACAGAGCATTCACATGCAGATCATCCTAAGTTAAACCAAAAAAAAAAAAAAGCCATACACATATACACACACGTATATGTACGAACAACAAAAGGCTAAAACCAGTATATTGAGAAATACTGACCAGAGATAGCATCTACTAAAACATTGCCAGTCTGTATAGCATCCAGAGATGTTTAGGATGGATTTCACCAGTGTGGATGGGGAGAGAGTAGTCAAGAGTATAAAAACTCTAATTTATTCTTTTGTTTAAATATTAGTTGAATGTTTGCTATGCTGCCTGGCACTTTGCCATGAATGGGATATTCCACATGTAAGACAGATGGAACAGAGACTGTTATTTATTGTGACTATGTCAAAAAATAAAACCCCAGATATGGAGATTAATTTCTTACATTAGGAGCAGGGAAAGAAAGGGATAATTTTGGGTTTATAGTTGATGAAATAAATGAAACAACTAAAAAAAAAAACAGAAAGAATATTTTGAAATTCTGCCTAATTATGAAGAAATGTTACTTTACAGATATGTATATACCTTCTTTCCTTAGAAATTCTAATTAGAAATCTGTCCTATAGAACAAAACCTCAATTATTTTTAATCATTTACTCAATAATATTTATTTTCCAAAAAGCATGAAGAAATACTGTTACTTAAGAACAAGAGACTACAAGTAAAAAGCAACTTTCTGTTAACACTGTAGGTTCATCTACAAAAGAAAACACTTTACCATATTTCAGCTAAAACAGGAGCTGGCAGGCCTGATTGTAAGAAAAAGGTGCGTGCTTGATCACCTGAAGGTAACAGAAACAAAAACCAAGCGGCACATTAGTAAACGGGTCACTCCAATACCTATTAATTATAATCATGGGCATATGCTATTGCTTTCTTTAATAGTTTTAATTCCAATCATCAAAGAATAAATGAATCAGAAATGCACATATTAAAACATTTACATTTCTAATAAGGCTCAGATGCTTTAAAACAACAAAAGTCACAGAATAAATTATACACATTAATCAGTGATGAAAGATTACATTGTGAATCTTAGTTTTTACATAATAATTAGGTCTTATTTGATAATATTTCTATTAAATGAAATTTGTAGATAAAATCCCATCACACAGAACACCTATTCCCTAGAAGAGGTCTTACAAAAAGTACCAGGTGATGACAGCCAGTCCTCCAAGGGTCTCTCACACTGCTGTATGTCTTGCTGGGTAGGCTGAGAATCTAAGACTCTAATTGTGCTGCCACTGAGTCAGAGCTTAGCGTTGGATTTGCAGCAAGCAATCTTGAGGGATGAGGAAATGTCTCCCTCTGGGACAAGGAGCAAGGTTGCTTACTGCTTGCTACAAAATGGCAGGTTCCCTCAAGCTCAGTGTTCCTTTCCTGTAACACAGTCCTACTGGGCTCTCTATATCAGCCCCAAAGGGCTTGGGGAACAAGGGGATCAAAAAGAAATATGCTGATACTAAAAAGTTGTTAGTTGTGGACTTCCAGGCAACATGGCGCTATAGGCAGAAGCACCATGCTGTCCCTCCACAGCAAAGATCAGATGAACTAAGTCAAACAGAGTCACACACCAATCCTGAAACCCTAAGCATCAAATGAAGAGATAAAGAACTCAGCCAAGCACTGAATGGAATAAAACACTGACAGAGAACAGAGGGCGAGGAGAGACACATGCAGAGGTCCCCATCAGCTACCGCAAAACCGATCCGCCATCTTGGACTCGTATTGGAGATCAGCGAACAGGGGGTATGATAAAGCAGCTTCATGGAGCTTCCAGCGGGAGACAGAACAACCGGTATCCAGTGATATATGCTTTCCCACCCCCCATCCCTCTTCACCCCTACTTAGCCTCCTCTGCTTCCTGCAGCCACAGTCTCTTGGTTGGGAAGCACCAGCATCACCCCAGTGTCACTTGGATTCCACCCGCCCGCACTGGCCAGATCCCTGAGTGCCTTCTGTTGGCTGCTGGTGTTGCTTTTTTCCTCTTCTTTAGATTAATTCCTTACCTCTCACCATCTCCCCCTCTCTTCTCTCAAATACCTGGCTCCGTGCGCCATCTTTGTTTCTTCCTGAAAGGCTGAGAAACACCGCTCGACTATCAAACTGCTTCGCAGCCAGTGCCGCCACACTGGTGGGACCCCAGGGGCTTTTTGTTTGTTTGTTTGCTCTGATTTGTTCTGTTTTGATTTGTTTGTTTACTTTTTCTTTTCTCAGCTTGGGAGCTCCTTCTAGCCGGGTAGCACCACACTGCTTGGAAGCTACTCCCTTACTCTGCACAGATGCACAGGGACATCACTAGGGACATTTCTTTTTTGTTTCTTTTTTTTTTTTATTTCTTTCTCTTTGGTTTTGGGTTTTATTTTTGTTTCTTTCTTTTGTTTTCTTCTCTCTCTTATTCTTTTTGTCTTTCTTCATTTCCAGTTTCTCGATTTATTCATTTTTTTCTTTTACCTTTTTTCTTTTTTTTCCCTCATTTTTGTTCTTCCCCATTTATCAGTCTCTCATCTCTCCACTCCAATAGCAAGCTCCCTTAGCATTCTTTTTTGTTTGTTTTTGGCTCCTGTTCCTCTCTCCTCTCTCTCCTCTTTCCCATACCCATCTTAGCTCCACACATCACAATCTACCCCCTCCTTCCTGCCTACCTGCACTATGGGCTGAACATCACACTCCCAAGCAGCACAGGCACGGCCTACTGAAACCTGCCCTGCAATGATTCCCGGTCCGCACTGTCAGCCCTGGTACCTGCCACAAACAATCCATCCCAGCAACTACCCTTCAGCTGGACCTGCCCTGCTGTACCATACCTCAGTGACTGACCCTGCCCATTGGAGACGGAGGTGAAAAGTATTGTACCCAGAGACGAACAAACAACAGAGAACCCACAGCTCGCCTGCTCAGACATAACTGAATAAAACAAAAAAGCAGGATAAAACAAATCAACAATCAATAAATTAGGAAAATAACCACTGAATGCTCCAAAGACAGTAGACAACATCAAAACGTTTACAAAAACAGGACAGGACGGTTCCAGTAGGCGTCCAAAATAAACACCAGATGACTTTCCAGTAGAAGAAAAGGCACTAGACCTAACTGAGAGGGAATTCAAATCTCTAACATTCAGAATTATCCAAGAGTTGAAGCAAAAAGCAGACAAAAATGAGGAAAAAATGGACAAATTCATGGAAAAGGCAGACAAAATACAGGAACAAAATGCTAAAATAAATTCACAACTAGAAATCACACAAAAACAACAGTTAGAAATCCAAAAGATAAACAACAAGATTTCAGAAATGGACAGTGTCATAGAAGGGCTGAGGAGCAGGTTTAAAAATGATGGAAGACAGGATCAGCGAAATCAAAGACAAACACTTGGATACCACTCTATTTGAGGAAAAATCAGAAAAAAGAATGAAGAAAAATGAAGAAACCCTGAGAATTATGTGGGATACAATCAAAAGCAAAAATCTGCAAGTGATCGGAGTTCCAGAACAGGGGGAGAAAACAGAAAACACAGAGA